CCGCCGGAGGCTGGGCGACGCACACAATAAAGACGTGGAACAAGTGAGGCGGAAGATTCGCTGTGGCACCTCAATCACCTGATCCGCGGCCCAGGCGAACCTAAACTCCTCCGAGAGACGTGGGAACTTCTTGAAGGACGGAGGCGATCCCGCAGGGAGTAGAGGTGTCACGGGATATAGTTGCCTGTGAAGGCGGTGTAGGGGGACAAGGGAACGCGGTAAATGGAGATGATGTAAGGGCCGGAGATAGTTTTCCTTAGCTAATGTTTACGTACATGCAGCATAATCAATTAAGGATCTAGTATGAAATAAGTATATCATTGACATTACTCGTACGTTTTCATAAAAGCTGGATTGTAGTCAGCAACAGCTCTAAGATAATTTAGCCAATCTTAGCATTTTTTTATGTTATAGTGAGAAAAGCGGCATAATAGTTATCCTCATTTTCGGTTCTTCATAAAACCATATAGTTGATGTCTGTTTCTATAACATTATATATAGAGCATCATTCTTTCAAATGTATCGGGTTGTTCCATGGGGATAAGTACAATGAAAAAACAGGCACAATGAGACTGAATAATCTTAGTGTAGCTAAGATTATACAGGTTCATCATACAGGTTATCAGTAACTTGCCTTAACATCATGAAGATATCGTAAGTAATAACATTCTCTCCACAGGTTGATGATAGACGTCCATTTAATGCCTAACTTTGTAACACGGGCAGCCACTATCCTAAATATTTTGGTTCGCCTAGTAAATCATTTTCTGCTGAGTGAAACTCATGCTAGGGATGTTTTGTCACAATTATTAAGTCATAACGTTTCGAGTGGAAAAAGGACGAGCAATATTACCATTGTTTTATATATAAGTCATATTACAAATATTTTACTTACCAGCGATATTACTGTAATGGATTTAAACTAGATAAGTTTAGATTTAGAAAGGACACAGGAAAGTATTGGTTTGGAAATAGGGTAGTTGATGAGTGGAACAGTCTACCTAGTCGGGTTATTGAGGCTGGGACTTTGAGTAGTTTCAAATTTAGGTTGGATAAGTACATGAGTGGGAGGGGTTGGATTTGAGTGGGACTTGCACATCAGAGCTTATTTCTTGGGTAGCATTGAAAATTGGGTTGGGCAAATGTTTTGTTAGTGGGATGAATTGTAAAGGACCTGCCTAGTATGGGCCAACAGGCCTGCTGCAGTGTTCCTCCTTTCTTATGTTCTTATATTATTTATACTTTTCAAGGATAGACCGTGAGAGGCAGATCTTAAATATATTAACAAATTGTTCTGATTCCCTTACCTAAGCTTAAGCTTTCTTTTTGTGTTAGTGCAGTTGGAACGCTCAGTTTCGGGACCGCGGTTCGCGTCTCCCGTCCATTTTTCTGTTTATTCATTTAAATATTTTATTAATTAAATATTTTATTTTTTTTTATTAACACATCAGCTGTTTCCCGCCAAGGTAGAGTGGCCCGAAAAAGAAAAAACTTTGTGTATGCAATAATTTCGCAAAAATCATTCTGAACCTAACGAAAAAAAATATAATTCCTTGTGTTTGTTTTCATTAAATTATTGTAAACTTATCTAAAATATATTTAGTTGGATTAAGCTAAATTAAATTTAGCTCGTTATAAGGAGGTTAGGTAAGTTTTCTAAGGTTCTCGTGTTACAAAATTATTAGTTTTTACATTAAAACAAATGAAAAAATGTATATCTTTAAACATATAAGAGAATATTTTAGAAAGGACTTAATTTTAAATGCGTTCTTGCTGACTAATTTTACCAATTCGGCACGACATATATATATATATATATATATATATATATATATATATATATATATATATATATATATATATATATATATATATATATTAATATATTTATCTCATAGTCCACAGTAGGATTAGAACCTGTACACAGTCAAAATACATAGTACTTCAGCCATTCACCGAAATCCCAGAATTTCGCCTGTTTCCGAACTGTTCAGTGTATATATATATATATATAATATATATATTATATATATATATATATATATATATATAATATATGTAGGTAAGACACATAGGCAACAGTTAGGCAACTTTATTCCGAAACGTTTCGCCTACACAGTAGGCTTCTTCAGTCGAGTACAGAAAAGTTGATAGAAGCAGAAGATACTTGAAGACGATGTAATCAGTCCATCACCCTTAAAGTTTTGAGGTGGTCAGTCCCTCAGTCTGGAGAAGAGCATTGTTCCATAGTATGAAACAATATTGTTTCATACTATGGAACAATGCTCTTCTCCAGACTGAGGGACTGACCACCTCAAAACTTTAAGGGTGATGGACTGATTACATCGTCTTCAAGTATCTTCTGCTTCTATCAACTTTTCTGTACTCGACTGAAGAAGCCTACTGTGTAGGCGAAACGTTTCATATTAAAGATACCTAACTGTTGCATATGTGTCTTACCTAACAACCTGTCGGTATTTTATACCATTTTAACGGAATAAAGTTGCCTAACTGTTGCCTATGTGTCTTACCTACCAACCTGTCGGTATTGTATACCATTTTGATGTTCATATATTAATGTATATATATAATGCGAGTATAGAGACCTGATCTTGTCTATTAATCTTAACTACAGCAGTAAACAACCATTGCTTATAATACTGGTAATGCCCAGACTGGGACAACTTGGCCTGGGGAGTTACATCAGTGACCTTCCAAGCTAGCCTACTCTCGAAAGGACGTGAAAGGGGAAAGGTTTACCGGTAAATCCAAGAAAAACCCGCACCTCTCATGCAGAAACCTACACCAGCATGGCTAAGGGAGGGGGCTACTAGCAAGCTGCTAGCTCACTGATTTTCACTACTCCTCACTTGCATCCCAAAATTCGTCTCGAGCGTAGTGACCAATTAAGGTTTTCTAATATTTTTACCTAATAATTTAGTAGCTTTATAGCCAATAATCTGCTTGACATGACAGTAATTACTAATCGCTTCGTGTTCATATTGCTGAAGACGTCTCTTACTTCACAAAACCAATATGATACAAGTAAAATATGCATATACACAGAGATGCTTAATAATGAACGAATAAGTATTTATTTCTACTCCTGAAATATCCCAGTTTCGAATATTTCAGACTGACAGGGATAAATGCATATATAATGAAAAAATAATATTCAAAGTTTTTATGGCTTAGGTTCTTAAGCATCACTCATGACACTAGACCTCACTGTAACTTATTGACCTCTTTTTTTAATTATTACTGTTATAATTATTACTGTTGTGGCAAAGTGTATGGTAGAGTTATTATTGAAAGAATTAAGAGTAACACGGAGAACAGGATAGCAGATGAACAAGGAGGCTTTAGGAAAGGTAGGGGGGGTGTGGACCAGGTGTTTACAGTGAAATATATAAGTGAACAGTATTTAGATAAGGCTAAAGAGGTCTTTGTGGCATTTATGGATTTGGAAAAGGCGTATGACAGGGTGGATAGGGGGGCAATGTGGCAGATGTTGCAGGTGTATGGTGTAGGAGGTAGGTTACTGAAAGCAGTGAAGAGTTTTTACGAGGATAGTGAGGCTCAAGTTAGAGTATGTAGGAAAGAGGGAAATTATTTCCCAGTAAAAGTAGGCCTTAGACAAGGATGTGTGATGTCACCGTGGTTGTTTAATATATTTATAGATGGGGTTGTAAGAGAAGTAAATGCGAGGGTCTTGGCAAGAGGCGTGGAGTTAAAAGATAAAGAATCACGCATAAAGTGGGAGTTGTCACAGTTGCTCTTTGCTGATGACACTGTGCTCTTGGGAGATTCTGAAGAGAAGTTGCAGAGATTGGTGGATGAATTTGGTAGGGTGTGCAAAAGAAGAAAATTGAAAGTGAATACAGGAAAGAGTAAGGTTATGAGGATAACAAAAAGATTAGGTGATGAAAGATTGGATATCAGATTGGAGGGAGAGAGTATGGAGGAGGTGAATGTATTCAGATATTTGGGAGTGGACGTGTCAGCGGATGGGTCTATGAAAGATGAGGTGAATCATAGAATTGATGAGGGGAAAAGGGTGAGTGGTGCACTTAGGAGTCTGTGGAGAGACAGAACTTTGTCCTTGGAGGCAAAGAGGGGAATGTATGAGAGTATAGTTTTACCAACGCTCTTATATGGGTGTGAAGCATGGGTGATGAATGTTGCAGCGAGGAGAAGGCTGGAGGCAGTGGAGATGTCATGTCTGAGGGCAATGTGTGGTGTGAATATAATGCAGAGAATTCGTAGTTTGGAAGTTAGGAGGAGGTGCGGGATTACCAAAACTGTTGTCCAGGGGGCTGAGGAAGGGTTGTTGAGGTGGTTCGGACATGTAGAGAGAATGGAGCGAAACAGAATGACTTCAAGAGTGTATCAGTCTGTAGTGGAAGGAAGGCGGGTAGGGGTCGGCCTAGGAAAGGTTGGAGGGAGGGGGTAAAGGAGGTTTTGTGTGCGAGGGGCTTGGACTTCCAGCAGGCGTGCGTGAGCGTGTTTGATAGGAGTGAATGGAGACGAATGGTTTTTAATACTTGACGTGCTGTTGGAGTGTGAGCAAAGTAACATTTATGAAGGGGTTCAGGGAAACCGGCAGGCCGGACTTGAGTCCTGGAGATGGGAAGTGCAGTGCCTGCACTCTGAAGGAGGGGTGTTAATGTTGCAGTTTAAAAACTGTAGTGTAAAGCACCCTTCTGGCAAGACAGTGATGGAGTGAACGATGGTGAAAGTTTTTCTTTTTCGGGCCACCCTGCCTTGGTGGGAATCGGCCAGTGTGATGATAAAAAAAATAATAATACTGTTATTAATAGTGTTATTTATTGGGAAGCGTTAAATCCATAGGGGATCACAGCAGTGTCTTGGGAAATGGGAAGCGATCAGTTTCGATCCAAGGAAAAGGAGGGTACATCCAATTCTTTGGATCAAGAGCCCTTCACCGGACTCTGCTGGGCCGTTTTTTCATGCTACATATTTTTTGGGACGATCCACAGCCTCGCTACAACTGGGGTTGCTACGACCGCTGGAGTAGTCGTCCTCTCGGAGTCTCAGTGACGACTACCACGAACAGCAGCAGCAGCAGCAGCAGCAGCAGCAGCGGCTCCAACACGAGTAGTGGTGGTGTTTTGAGGCAGTGTAACTGGGTGAGGTTCCTTACCGTGTGGCCCTGCTATACGCCACACGTCAACATGGTGGCCACCCTCCCAGCCCCCAACACCATCACTTTCACCATCACCAGGTGGGTAACACCATCAGCATCACCATCCAGGGCAACCTCAGCCCCCATCATCTGCTAGCTTCTCCAGCTCCCAAAAATAACACTACTCTTTAGCACCGTTCTCACCACAATTAACACCACCACTGTCATAGTCATGATCACTACTATCATCACGCTCATTATTTCCACCTTTACTACCACCATTAGTCATCACCACCACCCCCACCACTAACTACCATTACAGTATTACTACCAAGACCACAATCATCACTACCACTACCACCATCAGTAATTATCGTATCCACTACCAATATAATGATTATTTCCACCATTACAGTCGCTTCTACTACCACTACTTTTACCATTATAATCATTACCACTGTCACCAACACTACCATCATCAAGGTCTTTATCACTGTTTCTATCACCATTACAATCGCTGTCACCATTATCCTCACTGTCACCTCCACTGTTATTTCATCACATCCTGTGGTATATTATTACCCCATTACGTAAGTATAATTGTACCAAAATATAATAGGTTTACATGAAAGAAATTAATAAATATTAATAGGGTGGAAGCGCTTAACCCATAAGGTCATACAGCGTTTGGATAATAGGCAGGAAGACAGGTACTCATATTTGATCGAAGTAGAAAGGTTTCCAATTTTTTGGAACAAGACCCCTTCTCCAGTATTAAAGCCAATTCCCTCCCACGAGAGGTTTAAGACCCTGGCTTTTGTTAGGAATTTCCAGCGATCCCCTACTTGGGACGTTGTAGATTTGAGGGTCATTTGGAATGTGATATCTGCGTAGTACTTCTCGCAAGACAGCTGTTGAGTGGATGATGCAAATGTGTTTTTGGGGGAGGAGGAGGGAGGGAGGGGGAGGTCACCCTTCTTCAGTGAGAGACTGTTGGTGTACTAAAAACATTAGCAGTACAGTGGAGGGATCTGTGTTTGAACGCAGACCGGGAAATTCAACTCTTCGATTACCCCAATAAATTATTACTCAGTACAAGTTCTCAGCACGTGTTAGTTAAATATAATGTGGATTATGTTGTATAGATTCTTTCCGCTTAAGTCAAGCACCAGCTGAGTTTCTGGCATACCATTCACCAGTTACTCTTGGAGCCCCAGTGTAAGCAACTACTTGGAAATCCCCCCGTCCCTAAAACTTCAGCTTCAGTATTGTGTGTGTGTTTGTTTTATCAAGAATCATCACATATTTTTGTGCCCTGAACCCTGTTTCTAAACGCCTATTTTGTAGCCGGTGCCCTTGTTTGTGGGGGAATCTCTTCATTGCGGAGGCCTTTCTTTGTGGAATTTCCGAGGAAAGAACCCCAGTTTTTCCCCTCCCCTTTCTATTTTAATCCGGCACTTAACAACAAATAATTATATTTAGCATTAAACATAAATTGATTGTTCCAGGCAGCTACCGTCAGATGTAGAAGTGATAGCCTTCTTCTTACCCACGGATGAGATGCTCCTTCCACCTCCCTACTCGACCATATCTCTCTGCCCTTCATATGTGACCAGTCAACACCCTTTCGTGGTTGAGCTCTCCAGCATTGCTCCAGCACCCAAACCCACTGATGCCTCCAGATTTACTGCTGCCGAAGGTAAGGTATTGTAGTATGTGTGCACTCGCTTGTTTATGGTTACCTCTTACCACTTGTCAGATTTACTCTTTTCTAGCTTTGTGGGCGTTCTCATACCTGTTGTTTAAACAACATATTGGCGCTGCCTACACCACTTGGTCATGCTAACTCCACTTCGTGACGATCCTGTGACTGAACATTGACTTCCTGACATTACTGTGAATATCAGGAAAATTAAATATTTTTTCTTATAGGATTGTAGAGAATTTTAAATTGATTTTTTTTTTTGTTTTATGGCATTTTTAAATTTAACACAGACTTTTCAGTTCTTGGAACATTTTCAGAAGAGTATTGTATTTGGTATGGTTTGTATGCAATCGTGTCATTACGATTTCGTGAGTCAGTTCTAAATTTTTGTTTATTACTCGAGAAAGCCTTATTCGAAGGGCTTCAAATTTCAAGCACTGGTGTATTGCACCTGGGGGCAAGATTCAGTAGGACTGTTTGCATGCATGGGTGCACAATAGACAATGTGACAAAGGCGATTCCCAGATTGTGTTTGCGTTTCATAAGACACTGTGTCTGACTTTACTGGGATATTTTAGATTAGATCTCCATAATTTACTTTTATGTTCCTATAATAGCTGTGTGTCCTCAAGACAGTTGTAAAAAAAAATATTGTTCCTAAAGCTTAAATAAAATTCCCTTATTTATTTTCTTCCTTACTGAATTACTTAATTATCTTCAAGACAAATTTGGAATGATTTTTGCTTATACAAGTTCCAATTTGTTTTTTACCTGGAAGAAAGTGGGAATATTGAAATTCTCATTTTTTTTAGATAATTTCCGAGTATCGCTCCCGATTATCCTCTACCCATCAACGCTAAAAACTTGATAATGCAACTTCTAAGCTTCTTTAAGCTGAATATAAAATGATTATTTTGGGACATTAATCTCTGAGATAACAGAAGAGAATAACCCTTCAAATCTGTGTTTTAGTGGAAGGTCTGAGTTACATTTAGGATGTGTTATTTTTATTGAAGAAAATTGGATATTAGTTGCTATAAGAACATAAGAAAGAAGGAACACTGCAACAGGCCTACTGACCCATGCGGAGCAGGTCCATGTCCCCCATCCCCGGATTAGACCAATGACCCCCCCCCTGGATTAGCCCAATGACCCACCCAGTCTGATCATCTCCACTTAAGGATGGAGCACTGTACCAGACCCAGCAGCACAAGCTAGTCAGGTCCAACTCACACCCACCCACACCCACTCATGTATTTATCTAACCTATTTTTAAAACTACACAACGTTTTAGCCTGAATAACTATACTCGGGAGTTTGTTCCACTCATCCACAACTCTATTACCAAACCAGTGCTTTCCTATATCCTTCCTGAATCTGACTAGCTTCAAATCCTCACTGCTAATATTTAACGGCATTACAAATTTAAGCCGTAGTCTTCACGGTTCCAGTAGCACTGAGATAGGCTCGTCTGAGGTTATAAACTATACCTGGAGTATACCTTGAGAGGGTTTCGGGGATCAACGCCCCCGCGGCCCGGTCTCAAGTCAGGCTTCGTGGTGGATCAGTGTCTGATCAACCAGGCTGTTACTGCTGGCCGCACGCAAACTGACATGACAACCACAGCCTGAGGGGATAAATTTCTCGGGTCGCACAGCGACTGGAATGCATCTAGTTTCTTGTGGAAAAATATACTTGTGTATAATTCAGGACATTTATTAGAGGAAATATTTCGCCAAGAGTGACTTCGTCAATCTGAATAAGTCACTCGTGACGAGACGTTTCCTCTAATAAATGTCCTGAACTATACGTAAGTGTCTTTTTTCTCACATCTTGTTAGTATCACCAGACCATTTTTCATCTAGTTTCTTGTTGAGTTTACAAATATTAGCCATAAATAGTGTTCCCCTCTCGTGTGAATTTCCACTGCTGAAAGTTACAAATTTTATTCCGAAAACGTATTTCATTATCTTGTAACATTTTCTTCCCCACTGTTGTTATTCTTCCTCATTTCCAGCGATGAATAATGCACCTCTCAAGCTCATGCCAAATATAATAGAATAAAGAATTACTAACTGATGACTGGAGATAATATTTAGATTTCAATTCCATCACTTTCGCTATTCCGTGTGACATTTAAGCAAATTATCTAATAAAATAAATGGATGGAGTTTTAAGCACTTGCGCTAAATTACGAGATCACGAAAAGAAAAATTTACAGTGAGTTTACTGTGAAACGGAAGACTGGGGAAGGCAAACTTTCAGTAACAGAATGCTGAAGTTTGCGTCGCTGGGATTAACTTTTGCGTCTATATTTCAAGGAACGGTGTTGAGTTCGAGCAGCCTAAAGCAGGAGGCGAGGAGCTGCCCGAGTCTGCTGGTAGCCACCGCCCTCTACCGCAGGGCAGTAGAGGTCCTCATGCAGGGTGAGTCAGACTGCCTTCCATATTAACTCTTTCCCTGTGTCCATAAGCTGTACAGAGACATATTTACATTACAAAAAAAAAAATACATGTTCGTACATAGAACTAGAAGTTTACGAGTATGATTGTACTATTTGTTTATAATCGATTTTGCGTTATTTGATGCTATACTAACTGTTCGTCTTCCCTTCTGTCACTCGTTGGCCATAACATTGAATTTGTTGCGTCTTAAGAGGTTTTCATTGCACGAGGGTCGTTAAGCTTGCAGTTCACATGTGCACCACTGATCAAGAAATTTTTAAACGTTATGACAGGGATAAAAGTAAACTCTTAGTTTATGTAGAGTAGAAATGTGCAACTCTCTGATCTCAAGAGATTTCAATGTGTTGCTGTTTCTCTAGGAGTGATCTATTGTGTATGAATGTTGGTCATTCTTCTGCAGCCCAGCATGATAGAAGGTTGAAGTGTAGTGGATTTTGGTTATGATAGTGTTGTATTTTGCATTTCTTCTCTTATCTTTCATTTTTGGATAGCACTGAAAATGAATTTGACAAATATTTTTGTTAGTTGGTATGGGTTTGAAAAGGGCATGCCTAGTATAGGCCGGTAGGCCAGCTGCAGTGTTCCTCCTTTCTTATGTTCTTAAGTTTTTTCTACTGTGCAGAATAGATACCTGGCCATCGAGAATTTTCCATGTAAACATTGTATACTGTCTGCTCTTGTTTCCAGTGAGTATATTCAGTGAGTTTTGAGAAATTCCCAATTGTTTAAATATTTTGGCGCAAGAACATAAGGAGCACGGCAGAAGGCTTACTGGTCAATACTAGACAGGTTCACCCTCTAACCCAACCCTTCTCGGTCGAAGAGTCTGGTACGTCAGTCCAAATTAAATTTGAAGCGATCCCTGAGCACAAACTCTGATCACTCTTCTTGGCAGATGGTTACACTCGTCTGCAACTCTATTTCCAAATCACTATTTTCCTATTTCCTTTCTAAATCTGAATTTATGCATATTAGGCTTCAAGCCTATTTTTCTCCTCCTTCTACATATTTCAAGAGTTGCAGGAGTACAGCTCTTAGTATATATGAAAAAATTCTTATAGAGTTTATTAATATAGTAATCCTCTTCATGTTCTCAAATGCATTTTTATCTACTCTTTAGCCTGGAAATCATATCTGCGTCGCAAAATCTAAATGAGGCATTCTAAATGATGTGTAGAACTGGAGAATAACCTTTTCACTACTGTTGCTTATACATGGAAAAATAAACACATAAGCAATATAATGTGATCCTTTATTGACAACGTTTCGCCCACACAGTGGGCTGTATCAAGTCACATACAGATCTGCTTATACATCTTGATATAAATTCAAGCACTCTGTTAGCCTTATTATAGATGCTTAGGTCCTATAGTGGTCCTGGCCTTAAATTGTGTGTATCATAACTCCATGTTATTATCAGTTGTATGCTTAGGTTTTGTGGAGGTTTTCTTGTTGTATCCTACTCAATTTATTTTGTAGCCGGTGTATTTAATTTTCCATTAAAGGAAATTTGAGCACAGAAAAGTAATATTAAATGGAATTTCATAGCTATGAAAAATGTTATTACTGGCGCGGCATCATTGCTTAAATCATACATGTACTCATAATCCCCCCTCATTATTTTCATGGCCTTTGCTACATTTGCCATTTTGTGTTCTCTAAAGAGCTGATGTTCGTAGTTCTAGTTATTTTACATATTCCTTTCATTCTGTGACCTGATTTGAGAATGTTTACAATTCAGGCGAATTTTTGGGGTATTACCCCAAAACAGATTTGTGTAGAGGGAAATTACCCACTAGATTTGAAAATCCACAAAATCCGGAAAAAACAAGAAGCATTCAAATTCAAAATAATTTATTAAATCCATGTGTATGGAGAATACAGTTATACAAGTTGTAAAGTATGTATTATATGCGATAAAGCGTCTTTAAAAATAAAACACAAAATTAGCAAAATAATAAAATGGAAAATAAATAATTTTTTAATATAATGAGGACGGTTAATTGTGCGAGACCATAATTAATGTTTAGTTTTTGCGAACTGTTTAAAAACTGAATACCACTTATATTAATTTATCCCTTTTGATCTCATTTTATAAATTGTCAATAATAAGTCCAGTTCTCAAATGTCTTTGAATGTTCTAGAAAACTGCATTCTCGATTTTCTTCAGCTGTGAAAAACAGGTCCTTCCTTCTCCAAAGCCATGTTGACCTAGGTTGTGTAGCTTGTCTTGTCGTAAGTTCACTTTTGACCCGCCACTTCAAGAATTTAATGATGTGTAGTGTCAGTGCAACTGGTCTGTAGCACAACCACTGCTACGTAAACTTACCCTGTGGTGTAGATGCGCCGCTGGACCTATCACAACCGTTGCTGGGAAGTCGGTCAGCGTTGACGGAGAGCGAGAAACAGAGCTCAGGGTCTTCTTCATCGTCATCCTGCAGCGACTCCGACGTAACCCAGGGAACCTACAGTAGTGACTCCTTCAGGTAAGCCCTGGCTGCATTCCTTTGTCACAGTAGATTGTGTGTGAGGGGAGTTCTTCAATAAGAGGGTTTCAGACTCGTCACGTAATGGACTGGGAAATAGCAGTCACCAACTACGACCCTAGAGTAAAAGTCTTTTACCGAGCCCTTATCCTGTCAGCCATGCGCCATGTAACCCCTAGCGCTTCCCTCTTATTTTATATAATACTAATTCTTCTGTCTCCACGCAACCTGATTACCTCTTGTTTACCAGGCGTTGTATGACTCTAACGGCTACAACGCTTCTAAACTAATAATAATAATAATAAATAAATAATAGTAATATTAAAACAATTTTGATACATTTTGGTTCCCAGGCTGAGCGACTCGTTGAGCCAGTATGATACCTTTCCCCAATCATGCGAGGTTGGTACATCCTCGGAGACCAGCCTGGCTCGTCGTCCCAGAGAGAGAGTATTACTTCCCTGTCACGTGTGTGGTAAAATCTTCGACCGACCAAGCCTCATCAAGCGTCACATGCGAACTCATACAGGTGCGTCATCCGTACAGGTGCGTTAGACATGATAGTGTGTGAGAAAGCCTGTGTACCTATGGTAACAGAGTTATGTCCCGTGCTGTCTTGTCTTCAATATTTTATCTAACAATATTTGTTCCCATTGGTTATGGTTCTTATGTCCTTTAGAACCCTTTTCCGCTGTTCTATCTGTGAAAAGCCGATTTTCTAGTTCCCTTCCGAAGATACTCATTTATTCTCAGTGTACAACTATTGTCTCGTGTTTTTCCTGTTGATGCTACTAAGCAAGCTTCTTTATATATTCTTCTTTATTCTTTAACTACTCTTTATCTATTCTTTTGACTTTTTGCTCCTTCTATTGATGGTGCTAACTAGTTTTCATTATCTAATCTTAAATGTTCGTTTATTCTTTACATATTGTTACTGATAGAGTAGTGTTTCTTACTCATTTCTTCGTTTACTGGTGTTTATTTTTCTCGTAGATGTGAAGATCCAGGTTAAATGCCTCTTCAAAGGGAGATTAACTTGGCGAAGGACTTTTAATCCAAGAACTGGAGCTTCTCCCTTATAATCAAACCTGATTAACCCCCCGACACCCTTCCCCTCCCACTGGTGATATATGGTCCTTACAGGCTTAAACTTCCCCGTGATTATACAGTAGTAACGATCACGCTAAGATGAACTAGTTAACTACTTACTCGACTTTTAAATGTGTGAAATTAAGTCAATAACAATTGGTTTTTAATCGTTGACAAAGTTTGTGAGAACTTCCCCCTCCCCCTGACAATTTAAGAACTAACCATACCCCGGCCGGGATTGAACCCGCGGTCATAGATTCTCAAAACTGTAACGACACTCGCTAACGTAAATCCTCCCAACTCTCAAACGGCAATAACTTGAGTAGTTTCTTCTTTGCTGCTGCAGGGGAGAAGCCGCACGCGTGTGAGGTGTGCGGAAAGGGCTTCTCCACCAGTTCCTCTCTCAACACTCACCGGAGGATTCACAGTGGGGAGAAACCTCATCAGTGCGCAGCCTGCGGCAAGAGGTTCACCGCCTCCTCTAACCTCTACTACCACAAGATGACCCACGTTAAGGTACCACACTCGCGCCTTTCAA